TGGAGACGTGGAAGTAGAGACCAGTGCCCTCCTCAAGGATTGCAACTTCCCCACCGAAGACTTTACCGATAATGTGCTCAAATGTCTCCCACCCATCCCTTGGACGTAAGTTGGCCTGTTGTTTGACATTCTATATCGCTTATTCATGATTACAGCATTCCTGATCGCGAGTTTGAGATTCGCAAAGATTTACGTGATCGCCGAATCTTCTCTATTGATCCGCCTACTGCCAGGGATATCGATGATGCCCTCTCTATCACGAAGAATGACGACGGAACCTACGAAGTCGGAGTTCATATTGCAGATGTTTCCTATTTCGTTAAACCTAATACTGCACTTGACCGTGACGCTCGTAAACGATCTACTAGTGTTTACCTCGTCCAACGAGCTGTCCCCATGTTGCCACCAGCCTTGAGCGAGCAGCTGTGTAGTCTTTTGGCTGGAGAGGAAAGATTGGCATTCTCCGTTATCTTTACCCTCACCGAAGATGCAAGAGTCATCAAAAAATGGTTCGGACGTACAATCATCAAGTGAGCCTACCCTCCTAACTCAACAAGAACTAGTTTCTAACTGTGTTTAGATCGGCGGCTAAATTGTCCTATCCCGACGCACTTGGCGTCATTGAAGGACAAGCCCTTCCGGAAGTTCCTATTTATGGCAGCCATGATACAGGAGCTATTTCCAGTGATATCGTCCTTCTTCATGTTAGTCAAGATTTACCAAGGAAAGCTCAAAACACTAACATTCCTTTATACAGAAACTCGCCAAGCATTTGCGCCAACGACGCTTCCAAAACGGCACACTCCGTGTCAAAAACAACAAGCTCATGTTCGAATTGGACGATAACGGAATTCCAACCGATTGCTACAACTACGAATACAACGAGGCTAATCTACTCGTCGAGGAATTCATGTTACTCACCAACTTTGCTGTCGCACAACAAATTGCCGTCGCTCTGCCTGAGCAAGCTCTCCTGCGCCGTCACGACGAGCCTCTTGAACGCCGCCTAGTCAGTATAAGCATAACTCTTTCGCTAGTCATCATACTTACTCATTACTCTAGCTTGCATTCGCTGAGCGTGCTGGTCGACTGGGGTACGAGATGGATATCTCTACCGCAGGTGCTTTACAGCGCTCTTTCGATACCATCACTAGTCCCGATGCTCGTCGTCAATTGGAAGGTCTTGCTATTAAAGCTATGCACCGTGCCAAATATTTCTGTGCCGGAATGTTGGACATTGCGAAGTATCAACACTACGCCCTTAACGCCCCACTTTATACGCATTTCACTTCACCTATTCGCCGCTATGCCGATGTACTTGTCCATCGTCAATTGGATGCTGTTCTTTCTCCCAGTAAGTCTAGAATTCAAGTCTCGTACGACGCTTATACTTACTTGACTAGTCGAAGGAGAGACTAAATTCTCCATGGATAGGGACTCTGTAGCCAAAGTTGCCCAACATTGTAATATGTACGTTCACTCTATCCTCGTACCAGGTACAGTTGACTAAAAAAACGAACAGTAAGAGAGATATGGCGAAATTAGCCCAGGAGCAGTCTGCACATTATCGGTAAAGTCTTCGGTGGGGAAGTTGCAATCCTTGAGGAGGGCACTGGTCTCTACTTCCACGTCTCCA